GTGGTCCAGTGGTTCAGACTCCACGCTTCCCCTGCAAGGGGCACAGGTTTGATCCCTGGTGTGGGAACTTAAATCCTACATGCTATACAGCCAAAAAAAATAGCAAAGGAAAGGTCATACTCCATCCAAAACCACAGAGATCACAGACTTGTTCTGATACATGCAGATGTGGGGAATTATAAACTGTCCAGAATGTCTACTCACCGCCCAGGCTTCAGGTAGCTCACTGCCTTTGCTTTAACTTATAAACCTTCCACTGCCTGTCTTACCTGAGGAACTCTCAGCACCGCAGCGGAGAGTAAACGCTGGACTGCGTGCCCTGGCCCCCAGACGTCCGGCAGAGCCCAGGCAGCACCGCCTGCCTGCACTGAGTTGCGCCCAGGCCTGCCTCTCCCGCACTACACTCCTCCAGCTCTTCTCCAGTGAGGCACTGGGTCCCCCCTTCCAGTGTCCACGGGCCGCCCACCCTCAGGCACATCACAGGCCATCTAGGCGCATGTCCGTCAAACTGGGTGACAGTGTCACTTATCACCTGGGTCTACAGTGTCAGGTCTTTGTGGACCAGTGCTGGATTTTATCAGCCCTTGTATTTGCCTCCTGCCAATGCCTGGGGCATCAGAGATACTCAGAGCTGGTGGAGAGGAAGGGAAAGGCAGCCTTGCCTGGTGGGCGGGCGACCCTGCAGTCTCCAAGGTGCCAGGAGAAGAGAAGGCCCGAGGACTCCAGCGGGCTGAGGTCAGCTTCCCCCTGACTCCCGCGGCTCACGCTCCAGGGCATTTCAGACGTGAGCCCACCGGCATTTTTGTCGACCGTGACCTGGCAATGCCTACTGCCTTTCCCAACCTCAAGACAGGTCCCTTAGGAACAGAAATGCCCAGCCATCAGGCTTCATTAAAGGAAGGTTCACAGGAACATGAACCCGAGAGAGACGTAATACAGAGACCGTTAAAGGCTACAGTCTGCATGTTCCGTAGCCTTACTTCCAAAAGAGTAACATTTCTGAAACTTGAATTGGATGTTCCCTCAAAAGGCTGAGATATCAAACAATACTGGCCAATTAAAGATAGAAAACAATCCTACATGAAGTTGCCCAATACCCTTCAAGTTATGGACCATCTGTATATTAAACATTTGGAGTTTAAAAAAAAAAAACAACCCAGACTCATTACATTCTTAATGAAGCATTATCTTTTAATCTTTGGCAACATATTTTACACCTTACAAAATTCTGTTATATACAGGATTTCTTTTTATCCTCAGGACAATCTCTTGAGCTAGGGAGGGAAACTGAAGTTCAAGGAAGTAATTGACCTTAACAAACGCCTTCCTGGGGCCAAGCTTCCTGTGCAAAAGTACTGGAGTAAGTTATCTTGAATATATTATTCATATTACATCCTGTCAACACTCAAAACGGTTTTGATGTAGCCTGTAATAATAGGCACATATATGATAAGATCTTTAAAACGGAAAACAAAGAGGGAAAAGCCATTTGGTAGCTGGTGTGGGATGCAGGCGGGGTGGGGCAGAGCGGGTAACAGCAAAGACTTAGATTTATAGCTTAAGAAAAAAATTTCTCTCTGAACTTCTAGTTCTAAAAAAAGAATACTTAAACAAGATGATTTAGAGAATATCATAAACTAAAAAAGGGGGGAGGTACCATCAGCTCTTTAAGGTGAGGTGAAGTCAGCTCTCTAATGAGGCCCCCAGGGAAGAGCTGGTCAACCCGCTTCTTCCAGTGGAGAACAGGAGGAAGGACAGCCAAAAGCACAGCTCAAACGCTAACTCCTCCATCCCCAGGCAACCTCTTCTCTGAACGCTCCCTCTTCATTTAATTCATATAAAAACCAGTCCTGCCTGCAGAACAAGTAGTAATGAGCTTTCAGAGAAAATATTAAGACAATCTCAGAAAACCACAAAGAAAACCTATTTGCATTTCTGAAGACGGCTCCCAAAATATGTGTGTGCTTAGTCGCTCAGTCGTGTCCAAATCTGTGTGACCCCACGCACTGTAGCCCGCCAGGCTCCTCTGTCCATGGGATTCTCCAGCAAGAATACTGGAGCGAGTAGCCATTCCCTTCTCCAGGGGATCGTCCCAACCCAAGGATCAAACTCGGGTTTCCCTTATTGCAGACAGATTCTTTACCGTCTGAGCCACCAGGGAACAAGACAAACCACATGGAGTGCATACATATATAAAACAATGCACTTTTTAACATATTATATTAATTAAATGCTGCAAATCAAAATAAAGACAAAAAATGCTACTTAATGTGAAAATATAATTTGGTGGCATCCCTCCTTGACCAAACAACTACCCTCTATGTTTAATCCCTGTAATCACCCAAATAAGAACAGCAGAGAAAACTGTGTTGTGTATCCTTTCAACAACAGACATGTGGCTTTAAAAGAATCAAGTACGTCAAATTCCTACCTTGCCAAACATAATTGGAAGGGAGATTAATATTTTTAAGAACTAATTACTATATCCTTTAGAATTGAAGCTTTATAGGTCATTTAACATGATGCAAATTTGAAACTAATAATTTTAAACTATGCTTTAATCCATTACACAAAGCCACAAACACCCACTCAAGGTACTCCCCACGTTCACTCATCTCATACTCTCCAAATTAAAATCTCCGTTAGAAAAGAGACTCACAGACTTAGAAACTGAACTTATGTTTGCTGGGGGGAAGGGATGGTTAGGGATTTGGGGAAGGTTATGTACACCCTGCTATATTTACAATGAATAACCAACAAGGACATGAATAACCAACAGCACATGGAACTCTGCTCAATGTTATGTGCCAGCCTGGATGGGAGAGGGGTTTGGGGCAGAATGGATACATGTATAGGTATGGCTGAGTCCCTTCAGTGTTCACCTGAAACCACCACAACATTGTTAAATCGGCTATACCCCAACACGAAATAAAAATAAAATTTAAAAAATAAAATAAAATCTCTATTAGAGATTGGGGCATAAGAAAGCCTGCAGTTGGCCGACTTCGTATGACACTCAAAAGATCAGCAACATGCTCCTGCCAAGAGTTCTGAACCCAACAACTTCATTAAGGAAAACTTCAAACCAATTTGACAGAGCACAGATGTTGCAAGTAAAATGCAATTATGAAGAATATGCAAGACAGTATCAAGTAGTTGCCAAAGCTTCCATCAGGACAGTGTCTTTCAACTCTGAGACAAAGAATACACCCACAACTAAACTTCGTGGAAACTACAAAACTTTCACTTGAGAACCTACATTTTAAAGGATCTCCATTATTTATACCACTGCCACTTGACAGAACTTTCCTCTGCTGTATTTGGTTGGAAGAATTAAAGGTTTAGGGCTGACAAAGTTCTTACCTAGTTTACAACCCTCGAAGGTGAGGAAACTGAAGCCCAGTAGTTTTGCAGGAACAAACAGCGGCTTCATTCCAGAGCCAAAGTCAGACCAAATAAATTCAAGTTAAGTACTCCACACTGTGCAACAAACAAAGTGATAGCAATTGTTCATCTGAAAGTCCTTAGCAGAGTTGAAGAACTGCAGATTTTAAATCACAGGAAACACTTGGATCCAGGGTGGAGAAAAGCAGCCTCTCCTTCAAACAGACCTCATTCTCTCTGGGTACAGCAGCAAACCACCCTGTCCTTAAAGACCATGGCTCTCAGAGGGCAGGACGAGAAGATGTCAGGGGAGCCTTCAGAAAGAAGGTGTCACCTAAACTGATACTGTAAGAATGGCCAAACGAAGTTGGAAGCCCTGGACCTGGGTGCAGGGGTGGTGGGAGACGGGAGTGAGCGGAGACAAGGCAGAGTGAAAGGCCAGCAGCTAAGTCTGGACTTTATAACAGCGACAGCTGCAGTTATGGCCACATTTCCATCTTGCATTTCTGTTATTTATACCCTGTCCGTTCACAAAGAATTTCCATTTGGATATTAAAGTTACTTGTGTCTATAGCAGTTTTCTCTTAGACCAGGACGCTCTGAAAAGGGAAAAGAGTGACCTGTTAGACACTGCATTCCCCAGGGGAAAAGAATCACTCCCCCTGGAACATAATAGGTGTTTTCATACAAGGGTAAATGAATGACCCACAGCCTCACCCCCTCTATTCCTTGCATAAACCTGACCTCTAACTGTAACTGCCTTGGCCTCATTCCGCGGGTGTGGATTCCCCTCCTTCAAACGCACTCTCCAGCCCGCCAAATTCTTGGGAAAGTTTTCTTCCACTCTCCAGGCGCTGAGAGCTGCAAAGTTAAATCTGGCTTTCCAGACTCTTTTTTTTTTTTTTTTTTCTTCTTCCCAATCCTAACGGAAGAAATCAAGAAGCGCCGGGCAGAGGGACCAGGCTCCCTCCAATCAGAGCCGGCTCCCGCCGGCCGGCCGAGTCTCGCGCCCCAGCAGGAAACGCCGGCCGCAACCCCGACGCGCGGTCCCCCGGCGGCGCAGTGACAGCCCCGCGCTCCCCGGGGACCGGGCCTGGGAGAGGGGCGGGTTCCGGGGCCAATGCAGCCGCTTCTGTTCACACGGCAAAGGAGACAATAAATAAAAGAGCGGCTCAGCTGTCCGACTCGAGCCAAATGCTTCTCCCCCACGCACAAGCCCATTACAGCCCGACCGGCGCCGCTCCCCGCGCAGGGACACCCGTCGACACATGGAACCCCCTTAGACACACACGCGCGCGCACCGTTGTGGGAAAAGGGGAGCTTGTCCCCGGACTGATCACACCCCCCAAAGCCGCGGGGGGGGGGGGATCGGGGAGGGGAGGCGTAGGGAAGGGGCACAGCCCCCCAACTCGCAGGGGGGCCAAGACACCGAGCGCACGGGTCCACGCGGAGCCACCCTCGGTGACCCACAAACACTCAGAGCCCCTCACTCTCGGAGTGACCAGAATCCTTACGATCGGCGGCCCACGCAGTCACCCTCGGTGAGACACCGCAACCAGTCACCCCGTGGAGGTAACGGCGGGGGGAGGGAACAAAGACAGTCTCCCACTCCCAGGATGTCCGGGGTCCCCTCGCGCGAGGGCCCACCCAGAGCTGCCTTCAGGCGACAGCCGCGCGAGCCAGCCACCCTAGGGAGGGAGCGGAGACTGAGGCAGTGTCCCCGCCCTCAGGATGACAAGGACCCCGCGCGGGGGGCATCACCGGCCGATCCCCGAGGAGTCCTGGCGGGCGCGGAGCCCCCTCGGAGCCACCCCGAAGCCGAGACAATACCCGGCGCCCGGACGCGCGGCGATCGGTTCCGCTCCGCGACCCTGTCCCCGCTTGGCGCTCAGGGCGGCGGCCGACACCTCGGGCAAGCGACCCCGCGGCGCCCCGCTCGGATGTGCCACACCCAGGGGGGATCCCCGTCCGACCCCGGGATTCCTGCCTTCTCGGAGACCCCTGCCGCCTGGGATCCCAGTCCGGCCCCAGCACCCCCGCCCGGTTCTGGGACCCCAATCCGGCCCTGGGACCCCCGCCCGGCCCGGGACCCCTGCTTTTTCGGAGACCCCTGTCTCCTGGGATCCCAGTCCGGGCCCGGGAGCCCTGCCCGACCCCGGGATCCCAGTCCGGCCCCGGGAGCCCCGTCCGACTCGAGACCCCTACCCTCCTCCCCGTCCGGCCCTCGGGACCCCCGCCCGGCTCTGGGACCCCAGTCCGGCCCCGGGACCCCCGTCCGGCTCTGGGACCCCAGTCTGGCCCTGGGGACCCCTGTCCGGCTCTGGGACCCCAGTTCGGCCCCGGGACCCCCGCCCGACTCGAGACCCCTGCCCCGCCCTGGACCCAGCCCGGCTCTGGGACCCCTGACTCCCGAGGATCCCCCCGACCGCCCGAGACCGTCGCTTGGCCGTGAGACCCTCTCCCAGCCCCGGAGCCCGTGTCCGACCGGGGGGCCCCCCGCCCGGCCCGGCCCCGCCGCCCGCCTTCTCACCTCAGGCCGCCGCCGGGGCAGCGATCGCTCCTAGCCGGAGGCCGCCCTGGCCGATCCAGGAGGAGCCGAGCAGCCGGCAGAGCCGCTGCCGCCGCCGCAACAATGGAGCCCCGGGGCGGGGCCGCCTCGCAGCCGCCTCAGCGGGTCCCAACTCAGGATAGCGCTCCGGCTCCTCAGGAGCAGCCGCCGCGGAAAGGCTGCGACCGGACTCGGGCTCCGCGCAGGCGCACTCGCCCCGCCCGCAACACGATGCCCCGCCCCTGGCGGCTCCCCGGCGTTCGGGGACCGCCCCCCGGCCAATAGGGAGGGAGCTGGCCCCGGTGGGCGGGGCCTTGGGAAACAAAGGGAGGTGGGGCGGGGCCGCTCTGGGGCGGGGCTGCGGGGGTCCCTGCACCGAGAGCTCCCGGAACCTCGGTCCACCCCGGTCCGATCCGGGACGGCCCGGCGTCAAGTCCACCCGGCCTCCGCTCAGCGAGACCTTGGCCATACCAAACCCGGAACTCAAGTTTATGGAATTGGTTCTCTTTCAGTTCGGCTCGGTCGCTCAGCCGCGTCGTACTCTTTGCGACCCCATGGACTGCAGCTCGCCAGGCCTCCCTGTCCATCACCAACTCCCGGAGCTTGCTCAAAGTCAGGTCTATTGAGTCGGTGATGCCATCTAACCATCTCATCCTCTGTCGTCCCCTTCTCCTCCTGCCTTCAATCTTTCCCAGCATCTGGGTCTTTTCCAATGAGTCAGTTCTTTGCATCATGTGGCCAAAGTGTTGGAGCTTCTGCTTCAGGATCAGTCCTTCCAATGAATATTCAGGACTGATTTCATTTAGTATGGTCCTCTTTACAGAAAGGGAAACTGAGGCCCAAGGAGGGAGACCTCCTGGCCCCCAAGCCATGTGTGCTTAAGTTGCTCAAACATGTCCGACTCTTGCAACCCCATAAACTGGAGCCAGCCAGGCTCCTCTGTCCATGGGATTCTCCAGGCAAGAATACTGGAGTGGGTTGACATTTCCTTCTCCAGGGGGTCTTCCTGAACCTAGGTCTCCTGCACTGCAGTCAGACTCTTTACCGACTGAGCTACATTTTCAAAGCCCCAAAGACGTGAGGAATGTAGTAGAGGCAAATTCGGCTCTCCTTTAAGGGCCTCCTGCAGACAGGATCAGAGATTTCTGAAGGCCACTTGAAGCCACAAAACTGGTGCTCTGAACAGAGCTCTTTCCCCTTCTTGCCGCAAAGCTTTTGTTCCTACGCTGTTCCCCACCTGAAGCACTCTCCTCGCCCTGCATGGCACCCCGTAAGTCCAAGTACCAGTTGTCCATAAAACCTCTGTCCTCACCACCTTTGATCTTGGGTATCCTGGGATGCCAAAGTCCCCGTTTTCCTCTAGATCACTGGCGGCTCCTCCCTGGTAGCTCAGTCAGTAAAGAATCTACCTGCAATGCAGGAGACCCAGGTTCCATTCCTGGGTTGGGAAGATCCGCTGGGGAAAGGGATAGGCTATGCAGTCCAGTATTCTTGGGCTTTCTTTGTGGCTCAGCTGGTAAAGAATCCACCTGCAGTTCGGGAGACCTGGGTTCGATCCCTGGGTTGGGGAGATCCCCTGGAGAAGGAAATGGCAACTCATTCTAGCATTCTTGCCTAGAGAATCTCATGGACAGAGGAGCCAAGACTATAGTCCATGAGGTTGCAAGAGTTGGACACAATTTAGTGACTAAACTCCTACCACCGGAGACCCCTCTGGAGTCTGCACCCCTTCTCTGCCCAACCTCTCCATGCTGGGGTATTAGGGTGGCCCATGGCTCCGGTATAGACTCTCCTATTAGGAAATCTCAGACTCTCCCAGGCCTTCAACCATCCACAGTCGTGTCTGACTCTTTGCGACCCCAGGGACTGCAGCACGCCAAGCTTCCTTGTCCATCACCAGCTCCCGGAGTTTACTCAGACTGATGCCCATGGAGTCAGTGATGCCATACTAATGTGTATATATATAATAGATAACTAATAAGTACCTACTCTATAGCACAGGGAACTCTACTGAGTACTCTGTAATGACTTATATGGGGAAAGAAGCTAAAAAAAAAACAAGAATGGATAGATGTATATGTATAACCGAATCACTTTGCTATACAGCAGAAGCTAACATTGTAAATCAACTACACTCTGATAAAGATTTATTTCAAAAAAAAGAACTCATCTTAGACTATAGGGAGAGGTTCTCTGTATGGGCTGTTCTATGAGAGGGCCTCTGGAGAACCCATCTGCAGATGTTTGGATGGTGGTAAGACCTGAGGACTGCCTCCAGCCAACAGCCAGCAAAGAGCTAGGCTCCAGCCAGGCAGTCCCATGGAAATGAATCCTGGCACCAACTGGAAGGAGCTTGGCAGGGACCCTTCCCTGGTCAAGCCTCCAGGGGAGGACACATTCTGGCCGAAGTGTTAAGTGAAGCCTGGTGAGCCCTGAGCTGAGAACCCAACTAAAATGGGCTAAAACTCTGACCCATAGAAACTGAGTTTAAAAACGTGGGTTACATTAAGCTGCTACATTTGTGATTATTTCTTATGAAACAATAAAAAACAAGTACTAGGTCCCCTCCCCAATACATACATTCATAGCCACCTCTACTTCTTTCTGGCAGTCACGATTCTACTTCATTGTTGACCATCACTCTCTTGCCACTTGCACAAAAACTCCTTGAAGATAGAAACGGAGTGTGTCTTGCTCATTGCTGTGCTTCAAAGCCCGACTCAGTTCTGTTCTAGGCAATGGGCCAAACAAACGCAGACCAATCCACCAGTGGGTTTGCTGGCCCTACTGTCCTTACTAGCCTCCTTTTCCCCAGCCATATTCCATTAGAGACACTCCAATAGTTTACTACCTTGCCCAGTGTCCAAGGTTGTTGTTTTACAACAACAAGCATGATTTTATTTGTCTAATGATTTTATTTATTTTATTATTTAGTTTTGGCTGCACTGAGTCTCATTGGAAAATCACTGAGTTTCTTTGGAAAAGACCCTGATGCTGGGAAAGATTGAAGACGGGAGGAGAAGGGGATGACAGAGGATGAGATGGTTGGATGGCATCACCGACTCGATGGACATGAGTTTGAATAAGCTCCGGGAGTTGGTGATGGACAGGGAGGCCTGGCGAGCTGCAGTCCATGGGGTTGCAAAGCGTAGGACACGACTGAGCAACTAAACTGAGTCTTCACTGCTGCAAGGATGTCTCTCTAGTGGCGGCAAGCAGGGGCGACTCTCCAGTTGCAGTGCCCGGGCCCCTCTTTCTGGTGGCTTCTCTTGTGGAACACAGGCTCTAGAACATGAGCTCAGTAATTGTGGCGCATGGGGTTAGATGCTTGGAGGCAGGCGGACTCTTCCTGGACCGTGTCTCCTGCATTGGAAGGCGGGCTCTTTACCACTGGGCCACCAGGGAATCCCTGAGCCAGCAGGCGTTGTAGAAGCTCCTGACTTAGTTTAATACTGTGAAGGGCTATCAAATGGGGTTAGTGACCCCAGACGTCTTCCAGATTCTTCCACTAATACGTCTCTTAAGGAAGTAAATTTAATTACAGGCTATTTATATCCCAAGGTAAGCTACATTTCCATGGCACTTTTTTTAATCTATTTATTTTAACTGGAGGCTAATTACAGTGTTGTATTGGTTTTTGCCATACATTCACATGAATCAGCCATGGGTGTATGTGTGTTCCCCATCCTGAACACCCTCCCACTTCCCTCCCCATCCCATCCCTCAGGGTCATCCCAGTGCACCGGCTTCGACTGCCCTGTTTCCTGCATTGAACCTGGACCGGCGATCCATTTCACATATGGTAATAGATATGTTTCAATGCTATTCTTTCAAATCATCCCACCCTCGCCTTCTCCCACAGAGTCCAAAAATCTGTTCTTTATATCGGTGTCTCGTTTGCTGTCTCGCATATGGGTCATTGTTACTCCATGACACTTTGGACGCAGTCTTCCTGAATTCTGAGACCCAGAAGGAACAAAGGCCCCCTGTGGCAACGAGGCACCAGTGAGGAGTCCAACCCGCGTGAGGATGAGGTGTGAGCTGCCAAGGCTGAAAGCCACAGGGCTTTCACACGAGTCACGTGTCGCTTCCTAACAAATGGCCTGAAGCCTAGTAGTTTGAAACAGCTTACACTGGGATTTCCCTGGCCATTCAGTGGTTAAGACTTTGCTTCCAATGCAAGGGATGTGGGTTTGATCCCTGGTCAGAGAAATAAGATCCCACATGCCAAGTGGCCAAAATATTAAAAAAAAACAAACAAACTTACATTCCTTATCTCACCGTTTTGGTGGGTGAGCAATCTAGCAGAACTCAGCCAGGCAACTCCGGTTCAAGGTCTCTCACAAAGTTGCAACCGGGCTGTTGGCTGGGGCCATGGCTTGACATGCTGGTTTGACTGGGGGATGGCTTGTTTTCATGTCACTTCAATGGCTTCTCACAGGCCACATTCCTCACGGATGCCAGGCCTGCACAGAGCCACTCACAACACGGCAGCTGACCTGCCCCAGAGCCCCTGATATGGAAGCCATGCATTTCACCAGCAGTGACAGTCCAGTAGCTCCACTGTGTTCTGCAAGTTAGGAGGTCCAGCCCATAGTCAATGGGAAGGGACCACACAGGGTGGGAACACCAGGAAGCAGGGATCATTGGGGGTCTTCTCAGAGGTTGCCTACCAAGCTGCTGAACACTTACGATTAAAATAAAATCTTAAAAGCAGACATAGAAAACAAACACCATATTCTGGGGAATAGCAATAAGACTTACAGAGAATCCCCTGGTGGTCCAGTGGTTCGGACTCTGTGCTCTCACTGCTGAAGGCATGGATTTGATCCCTGGCTGGGATCCCACAAACCATGTGTCATGTCCAAAAAGTAATAATAATAAAATTAATAAATTTATTTTAA